ATACGCAGGTGCTGCAGTTGGTATCACGTTGCATGGTTTGTGATCGAGTGAGGGCATCGTTCAATGCCCCGACACCAGAGTTACATCCCTTACCTATCATGGTATTGGGTTACCGTTGGAGTTTGGACTTTGCTGGACCACTACCTTTGACTACACGACATCATCGGTATGTGTTGGTGATGGTGGAGCATTTCTCCAAGTGAATTGAGTTGGTCGCATTACCTGACAAGGCGAGTGAGGGAGTAGCATATGCTTTCCTTGACAGGGTGCTTAGTCACTTTGGTGCACCAGCTGAGGTGTTGATCGATCAGGGGACAGAGTTTAAGGGTGAGTTTCAGGTCTTGTGTGACAAGACGCTGATTGAACACCGGACTACTTCCCGAGATCATCCAGAGGCGGATGGTTTGGCTGAGCGGATGGTACAGACGGTGAAGAGAGCGTTGCGCAAGTATGGCCTACAGAAGGGGCATCTTGGGGACTGGGATATTCAGTTACCATGGTTGGCCATGGGATATCGATTCAGTCGTCAAGCATCCTTGGCTTCGTTTTCACCATATTTTCTATTGTACGGCCGAGATCCAGACTTGCCTGCAGCGATTCGTTGTGAGTCTAGCGAGGTGGTGAACCTTGATGATCCAGATATGTGGGTGAGAGTGTGTTCTCAACGTGCAGTGCTCTTTCGGAGAGTTATGCTTGCAGCGTTTGAGAACCTTGCGATTGCTCAGCACCGAGATACGTTGCGGTATGCAACTATTCGAGGAGGAGGTTATCGACCATCGATTCGTAGGTTCCGCGTGGGAGACTACGTCTATCTACAGCAGACTGCACCGACTACGTTGGATGTGACGGCAGGACGCACTATCTTGCGAGTGCGAGAGGTGTTACCTTCTGGAGTTCTCATGTTGGAGGGTCGTGACGGTGTCGTTTGGAAGGATCATGTGCGCAACTGTGCGCCATGCCACCATCCAAACGTGGATGGTACTATGGACCCAAGCTTGGCGATTGTACGTGCCGGCTTGAGGTGCATGTTATGTGGGTCAACTGATCAGGCGGCCCATATGTTGGTGTGTGATAGGTGTTCTAGGGGATGGCACATGTCGTGCTTGACTCCACCTATCGATGTTGTTCCTACTGGACGGTGGGTTTGTCCTCGATGTACTTCAGAGGGTAGATGACTTGATCTTCACATGTTATGAATTGCAGATAGGCGACTAACGATGGGGCGACATAGCACCCGGCCTACTGGTTCGCGCACCCACGAAGGTGCATAGCATGTAGTTGTAGATAGGGCTACCTGGGAGTCAGAGGGACCTGACCGCCAGCTAGGGGGGCGAGTTGTGATACCTTTGTGTGTGGATACTCTCGTTCCTTGTGTATGTATGTGTGAGTTGTGAGTAGAGCATGTCAGCGATGTATGATGTATGGCGATACTGAGTCGCACGACAAAGGTTTCTAGAGTGATGAAGTAACCACATATGATATAACGTGGTGTAACTCTATGGATAAAATACCAAATAGTCAATGATGTGTACCTCAATTCCAAATTTCTTGTCACACACGATGATTTCATCTTAACACCTATGAACTTATTTTGCAAGCGCGGTAAACATCAAAGTGAAACAGTTCGTGAAAAGCCAAGACTGAGAAGCATTCACGGGAAATAGTCTAGTGGGGAGAAGTTAAGTTGGTTGACACGCTAGACTGAAGTATGCCAAAATGCCAGTTGAGGTTAGTATAGGAAAACAGATCGACCTACTAACAGTATATTGTTGTCTAGGCATTCTTCGACTGAATCCCGGGACGCAACTAATAGTCCTGGTTTGAGTAACCGTTGCGTCACCAGTGAGAGATGTGAAAAGTGTCTGAGCCCCCAGGTCAAGCTGTCGAATTGAACGCTGGCATGTTGAAGTCAGTGAGGACTCACAAGGAGCGAAAGGCCACGGAGGAATGCAAGGACACAATGCGATATCGAAGCTCATGCTACATCTGCTGCACTGGGCGCTTCGTCCTGCATGCCCTCGATTCTGCGTACACCATTGCTCCCATGAGCCACTCGTCTTCACTCCACCCTACTCGACTGTGGTAAGCGGTTCTTCCAGTGAGGATGCCTCACTGAAGATGGAGGTTCATGAGCTCAAGAATTTGTTTCTTCTCGAAGACATGGCCCTCGATCTAGCGCAGATCTGGGACTTGGTGCTATCGTCGTCACGGGCCCTACTTCCGTTTTTCAGTTCGGGTCGAAGTTTCAATGCAGACTGACGGGCAGGGTTGAATCACCCAACGTCGCAAATCGCTTGTACCGGATTTTATTGTTAGACACGTCATGGCATGGCATGGCATGCCATTGCAGCAGGAGCAGGAGGTTGGTTTGCCCTGTCCTGCCGGATGGAGTGATTATTCGCATACAGTTGTTTGGCAAGGACCGGAAGGCTCTTCAAGACAACCAGGGGACTTAAAGAATTTGGGGCTTCTATGAAGCGGAACTCGAAACAAAAGGGTTTTTGAAGGAATGAAACACAGTGAGGTTACACGAGCTCAAGGCTTGTCGGACGAGCAAGGACGACATTCGGTCGTTCACGAGTTCATCGCAGCTCCTCTCACGTACATATGATGATAGGACATCCAGCCCCGTCCTACCTGAAGGAATGATGGTTGACACTCGCTCCACGAGGACAGAAGAAGACATAATTTGCAGCCATCGGAGTGAAAACATGTACGCTATGTTGGATCTGATGAAATGCTTTCCATCAAGCAATGTTCCCCAGCTCATGATTAGTTCTACGCCGTCGGCTCTGCAAGCAGCTGCCATCAATAGATACAACCGATCCCGAAGCGTTTCAGCGGGTCAATACCGATTTATTTCTATTCTCATCCTAGGGTCTGGATTGTGGGAAAATCTTTAGTAGACGAGTTAATAAGAAGTTTGCGAGCCATAGGTGGAGACATCCACCTTTACGGACGAAAAGGATCGTACACGTACCCGAGCATCTCGCTGCTTTTGCTCTACGCCACCTCGCAGCTGCAGGTTGGTTCTGGGGCCTAATGTTCCTGAGCCTGTTTCTGATTCGTGAGACTCCGACTCGGTGAGCCGTGGGTGGACAGATCCGGTTTCGGCATCATTCAGGTCGATGAAATGGATCCTCACGGGTAGCTCTTGGCCTCTCCAGCTGGTGGTGGACTTGACGTAAGGTCTCGGTGGTTTGTCTATCTACGTGTCGATCTATCGACATGCCGAGAGATCCGTGAGACTCGGGCATCTTCCGAAGGAGGTCCTGCTTGGCATACATGATTTCTCGGGTTCGTAGCTTGGTTAATATGGACTGTCTCCATTGCTCTCCTGTGGTCTGACCACGCAGAGAAAGAGACGCTGTGGATCATGATAGTGACGTTGTCTTCTGTTGAATGTTGAAACACGGCCTCGGGGACGTCACTCCTTTGGGCAGACTGAACTTGTGGCTATGGTCCGAGCTCACTCCACGAACTGCGGTCGCCGTTGCTGCTCCGTTGTATGCCCAGATTGCAGCACTTTGGCTCCGTCTCTGTACGTTGTTGGTTATCAGTGAAAGTCGCCACAAAGAATCCACCTGAACTAGTAATCAACCGTGCTACACAGTAGCTCCTCGTTAGTCGGGGTCCTCGTCAGCTGCAAAGCAATATGCGATGGTCGACTTACTTTTCGCACTGACTCATCGCTTTGCGTCCAGAGCAGAACTGCTTTTCGAATCGATTGCTCAAAGAGGGGAAGGTAGAATTAACAGCCCTGATTCAGCTGTACATGGCACGTTTCAGCCTTGATCCTCGGGGTTGTTCGGGCTTACAGTGATAAAGGCAGCAATGACGAACTTTTTCAGGCCATAAATCTGAGGACGGGCAGACCGAATAAGCTGATGAATGCCTTGCCTTTCCTCGTATTCATTCGTGACCGCTAACTCTCTCTTACAACGACTCAGATACATTGAGAGAAATCTAGCGAGAAAGTAAATAACTGTTGCTCGATACCGGAAAATGCTTAGTCACATTGATCCCTTTCTGTGATGCACATCGGCATCACGGACTTGGACGAAGAACGAGAGAACGAGCAAGCAAATATACCTCTCTACAGCTTTGTGCGGAGAGTGGAATGATTGGGCACGAACTTGGATCATGACTACCATGCCGTGCCTTTCCGTTGATACCCAGTATCTGGAGCGACCGTCCAAGGGTCCGATCGTCCCCGGATCTACCTTCAGCATCGTATACTGTACTGGGACTGCGTGAGAGTGTATTGCGGCCCAGGATGTTCAGATTCACCTCACCAGAATACCAGGCCGTAACTCGTAGAGTGCGAGGTTCACACCTACAGCTGAATGAACCTTGGTTGATGGAAACCGAACAGGAACATCACCTTCGGCACATGTAATTCACGCGAAGCTCCGCTCACGCAATCCCTGGCTCCCACGTGTCTTAATAGTCAAGCGACTGCGTCCTCTTAAGAACATGAGGTCACGCAGTCGTAAGTGGATTTCGCAGTAAGACTTATCGGAGAGATACATTAAACTCTTGCGAAATCGTCAGAGCGCGTATGGCTCCCCATGTAGAGGTCCCCGAGCTTCGTTGACGGATCAAGATACGACTGAAACATAAGCCGTACAACCATATACAGTTTCTGTTGTGATGTCGGCCAATTCATCACTATCAATACAAGAGCTATAAGTAAAGTATACCACAGTACAGTATAATATCTGCTCATCAGACTCGCAATCACTCGACTCTTCAACAAAGCTTTGAGAGCTGAGGGGAATTGGAGAGATCAAAACAGGGCCTTCCAGTATGTAAATTTTGTCCAAGACTCACTCTGCTTTCAAAAGTATAGGCTTCCAGTCGATTCTTGATCACCAAACCAAGACTTATAAATCTCCTGTAAGCTTTATTCTCACGTGGAACCTGGCTGAAGCGAGACTCATACCAGACTCTGCAGCTGATTCCTTAGATCTGGTTTGATTGATCTCCTGTGCGCTCCAGATCCTGCTGAACAGGGTCCCCGAGATGTCCTGAAATCTCATACTGAATCTCGTTAGTTAAGGCGCAAGCAGTTCGTGTAATATGGACTTGTTTGGTAGTGACTGTGTTCTCCACCAAGACTTTTGTGACAACTTTCTGGCCTGACTCAGTTTAGAGATCCTAGAGTCGAGTCAGCTACAAAAGCGGATCACGAGCGCGCACGCCGGGGCCGAGATCGATGGAGGTTTCAAAATGTGTAGATTCTGTGCCGGTCCCAAGTGTTCCTAGGATCAAAATGCCCGAATGAGGATCAGAGGCGCTGTAAGCTGGCGTGGTGGGCGTCCGGTCCAGGTGTGATGCCCTTGGGTCATGCCCACATTGATACTCCCTGTGAAGATCCCAGAACGAGTAGATTCCGCACAGCATAGACCAAACCCGGAAGAAGTCTATTGAATACGAGGCCCAAGTGCATGGAGAGGTTTCTCCAGCAAGTAGAAGGCGGGTTCAATCGAGAATCATCTAGTCAGGAGAGAGACGTGCCGGCTCTTCCAAAGAGCCTGGCAGCGCATTCGTGCCTTTGTCCAGTGCCCACTGCGAAGCTGATCGTGAAATGGAAATCAATTGCCGGGGAAAATCCAGTGCTATGTAAAGAAGAGTTCAAGCTATCACAAGCAAGAAAGCAGTTGCAAGCACCGTGGAGTTCAAGAGAGCATTGTGTTTACACATCGTCCAGTAAGCAGGAGCGGCGATACTGCGACTGTCCTTGGGGAGTAGCACAACTCATCTCTCGACGTTCGCGTGCGTGCATTGATTACAGCAGCAGCTGACAGCTGCTCCTAGCTACTCGAGGAAGTGGTCCGCCTGATCATGAGACCTGTTTTGTAAATCTCAACTGTCGAATCGAGTATCCTCTGCACGAATAACTTGCGGCTCGGTACACTGCAATCTCGGTAATTCTCGTCAATGTTATCCTCTCATTTCAGAAGCTTTGTTTTCCGCCTTGTCGACAGCATTTGCCCATTTGATGATACCGCCATCCGTTTCGCCACCAAGGCAAGTCACGAACGCTTTTCGCAGAATTCGCTATCCGAACACGCAGTTTTTACCACTTGCATTCAGATTTTCGATCAGCAACTCGTGCTCCTACCCGAACTCGATTTGCCAGCCGCAAAAAAGATTCGAGCACGGATTCCTTTTTATTTCACTTTATTAATTTTTCCTTCAGCACATCACGTGTCGACGGAATATTTTCAGGACTTTTACGACCTCTAAGATCATGTCTCGCGGAAGCAGTGTTTAGACAGTTAAAGCGAGAAATCATCGCATGATGAACACCGTGCATGAGCTTCACGTAGTGTCTGAGCTGATACCCGGTTGACAGCAGCAGGCCACCCGTCCCGGGCCCCACAGTCTTCTCAGGTGATTACCAATCGCATCCCAGTCCAGATACTTCCGGAAGATGACGGGGAGACGCACTCCTCACTGGTCACTGGGGACAGTTGCGATCGATGCAAATTCGATGGCCTTGTTCTGAGCCTCGCAAGGGGCTCTATTATTAGCTGCGGGGTAGCCCGTGACTCTCGGGCGAGCACAACTGAAACAGGAGCTCCGTGAGTTCGTCGCTTGGGAGTGGTGATCATTGATCATGATGCGTGAGTCGGGGCAATACTGGTGAGTCCTCTGCAGTAAAGACCCAGCCCCGTGGAGGTTGATTGCAATTATTATTAGGTGGTCCCCATCGGTGGCATGGACATGACTTTGACGTAGATCCGCTCCTGCTTCTTGGAGCCAAATCATCCTCTCAAGGGCTTGAGACTAGTGCGAGACTAGCACCTTTCTAAGGACTAAGCATTGAGGAGTAATGTAGCTCACTCTTCTCCTGGAGCTCGGAGAGAGCATAGACACGGAGAGAAGATAGACACTGCGTGACCGTGTGACGGTGAATTGGGCTGGCCACGAGCTTCGTGCGTCCTTCTCATCGTCGTCCACAATTTACTCACAAGGCAGCGGAGATTCCTTCTCCTGCTCCCCAGTTTCCTCTTCCTCGTCACCAATTCAGACTTCTGCACCGTTCCTGAGCACGCCGTCAGCTGTCTCCATCGCTGGCTCTGGTGCAAAACGAAGTCTTGGCCTCAGTCTTGGCCTCGTTCTTCTTTAGGGGATCGTCTCCCTCCCTCCCTGTCACAGCTCACAGATTCCAGATTGCAGATGTGGCCGATGAAATCAAACCTTCTTAAGGATGATCCTTGCCGGTGGTCCTGATGGTGCCCGGCAAGGCTGTACCGTCGCCCGTTCACCGATCGGACCGATGATGACAGCCTCGAGCTGGAGCAGACAGAAGCCCGTCTTTGATGTGCAGTGCATAGCGTCCGAAGCGTCTGACCGGTGCTCGATTCTGCAGACAGTCGCGGCGGTCGCATCGGATCTACCGTAATTGGATCCGAGCGGATGACAAAGGCCGATTCCGAAGTGATGTAGCTCAGCTGGTGCATGTGTGCAGGAATCGTCGGCAGAATGTCGAAGCATGGGGAGAAGCCGGTGGGAGTGCGCTCGCTCATAATTCTGTGCATGCTGCTGAGCCTGGTGCTGGTGCTGGTGACGGTGAGGCCGCTGGAGGTGATGGGCAGCCTGGCCATCTGCCGGGGCGAGGCGGGCCGCGGGCACCTGCCGCCGGGGGGCCAGGCCTGGACGCGGGTCAAGGTGGTGCCGGAGTGGCAGACGCCGGCCGTGGTGACGGACCGCGAGTACGAGATGCTGCACGACGAGGCGTACGGCGTGGCGCGGCGCTTCGTGCCCATGGGCACGGCGACCTTCCTCTTCGTGCACTTCTCGACGCACCGCGTCGAGCCCAACTCGTTCGCCGTGGTCGGCATGGGCGCCAAGGCGCTCTTCCTCTACTCGAACCCGCAGTTCTTCTGCTCGTGGCACCCGCACGACTACCCGCTGCGCTCCACCGTGCACGCCAACGGCTCCTTCATCCAGCCCGACCGCTGGCACGTCAGCTACGGCAAGCAGTACACGGGCACCGTGGTCTACTGCACCTTCGACCTGCCGGTGGGCAGCGACGGCGTCGGTGGCCACCTCGTGGTCACGGCCACGCACGGCACCAGCCACCGGTCGGGGCTCGAGGACCTGAGCTTCGTGGCCAAGGTCGAGGCGCCCGGCGAGTTCAACGCCTCGCGCTTCCGCGCGCCCTACGAGCTCGACCACGTCTACTGCGGCGCGCCGCTCTACGGCGCTCTGAACCCCAAGCGCCTGCGCGAGTGGATCGCCTACCACGTGCGCTTTCTGGGCGACCGCGCACACTTCTTCCTGTACGACGCCGGCGGCATCGAGGGAGCTGTCCTAGACGTGGTGCGCCCGTGGGTGGCCAAGGGCCGCGTCACCGTGATGAACGTCCGCCAGGGCGAGCGCTACAACTCGCACTACCACAACCAGTTCGTCGTCCTCAACGACTGCCTGTTCCGGTCGCGCTCGCTCGCCGCCTGGACCTGGATCTTCGACGTGGACGAGTACTTGTACATGCCGCCGCAGTACTCCAGCGTCGACGAGGTCATCAGCGAGCTCGAGTCCAAGTTCTGGGGCAAGCGCTTGCAGCGCATCTCCATGCTGCAGAGGCCCATGGATCACAAGCATTGCGTCCGCGGTGGGGATTCCAGCGGTCTCGACAGGTACGGCCGCATCACTGGATCTTCGCAGTCTGAGCTGCTTGGATTTGCGTTGTCTGAATGTTCCGTCTACCGGCGATCTTCACGGAGGAGCTCGAACGACTCGTCATGGATCGGTGCATTGATGGATTGATGTTGTGTGTGCAGTGCGTGGGCTCTGGAGAAGTTGGTGTACAGAAGAACGCAAGTCACCGAGGCCGGAGGCCAAATGGATCGCAAGTCGGTGGTGCGAGCCGACTCGGCGTTGGCAGTGGGGCCGCACGATCCGGTGAGGATGAGAATGCCGCCCGGTGCGACGGAGATGGCCGAGGTGACGATGTGGGAGTCGACGAGGCTGCAGTACTACCACTACCACGGCACGGTGAACAAGAAGGAGAGCGAGCTGTGCAACGAGTTTCTGGGACCGGAAGTTAATGTGACGAGCTTCGACGACGTGCAGCACCAATTCGATGACTCCATGAAGCTCCGCGTAGAAGGAGTTAAGAGGTTCGAGCTGGAAACCGTCGGGTCCCTAGATGTGTGATCGATCTACCGAGTTAGTCGTGATCGGTCCACCGCAGTCCACCACTCTACGTTGGAACCTACACTCTTTTGCTCAATACCGACGGTCGATCCATTGGTCGATCGAGAGGTCCGTATTTCCACGTGCTGAGCATCACACCGACGTCCGTGTTGCTGTTTCCATCGACGCTCGCATGCAAGCACATCGATGGGGAGATTGAAGCTGCGGAGCTCGAAAGTCGTTATTTAGCCATAGCTTCCCAAGCGTTGCGGGGTGAAAACCACGCAGCCTGTGGAGAGAGAGAGAACAGAGGCGTAGATCGATGCATGTATAGAATGACTTATGCCGACTCAGAGCCGATGCCGACCGTGACAGCCTTCGGCAGTTGTATAGGTATAGAATGTAGATCTCGATAGGCTGGGTGGGTCGCTTGGTCGGTCTTAGAGGGGACTCCCTCGAGCTGATGACTGAATCTCCACAAGGTGTATGTTTAAGAAGAAGCCACTCGTAGCTAGGCAAAGATTCATTCTACCGAGCTCAACTTTGCGCAATAAACAGCACCAATTCGAGTCCTTCACTAGCTTCTGCTCGAGCTCCAGATTTTGCCTTCTTCTCTTCACAGGTTTTGATCACTTTGGAATCCCGATACTCCCTTTTTACTCGGAGACTCTATTTTCATGAGATGACAAGGTTTTGCGTCATATGTGACGAAGACAATGGGTAACCTTCAGTCTCAGAGTTGCAATCATCTCTACATTTCATTATAGTCGTCAGGTTCTGACTCTTCTGAGATTTTATTTACCGTGTAGGTCACCGTGAGCTTTTAGATCAAAAGATTACGGTGACCGCCATGGCAAATAAATCCTGGAGGATAATCTCAAAAAACACGAGGGGTTAATATTCTTCCAATCTGCGATGGGGACTGAAAGTTCCTGCTCCGCTTGCTTCAAATATCGTCTGACTTACATCTGAAGTAGACAAAAGACTTGAGAGGTAGGAAGAAAGATGAGAAAGCCTCTGTCGCACTAAGTCATTTCAAACCATGGCACACAAATCGTGCTTCAAATCTTGTGTTAGCTAGAGGAAGAACTGGATCTACTAATTGATTCTTTCTGTGATCTCTTTTCCAGTTGGTACTTTCCTTCAAACTTCTACTACACTACACTACTACTCAACACTACACTGTTCACATTCAACACAAGTTTGTTTGTATCCCCTCCCGCATGAGAAGCTCTCATTAAGAACTAATGCCTACCCCATGAATGTAAACATGAAGCAAGCTAGATGCATTCTTTTCTATCAGACTCACTTACCAGTTGTACTTTTTAGTAGACTCTGGTATCACCTCCATAAAATTAGGAGCAAATGAAAGACGAATAGATTTCCAGGAAATATAAGATTATCAGTTTGCAGATTACAATGTTGGTGATGCAGTAATTCAAATTTGAAGACATTGTGGTTGTGACAACACTAAACCACTTATTCCTAACCTAAATTGGATATTAGATGTCACAACTTACGTGTTATCATAAAGTCTGGAGCAAATAGTGTCTTTAGTGTAGTTCCCATTGATAGTACCAATAACTTCTATGTGGAGCTCCATCCCTATTTTGGCAATTGTAATGACAAAACACTGAGAATCGTTCTTATGTTTCAAATACCATAACATTGATAACTAACTATGAGTGTAATCTACAATGAAATATGATGATGTATTGTCATATTTAGATTTCATTGATGATATTGATAAATTTTTAGGAGATATAATTTTGAACATTATCAATATAGCTATCCATTCATATGAAAAGTGAAAATTAATATAGTACACTTTTTAAAAAGATTTTTTGTGATTAAAGTAGAATGAACATGAGATGTGAATAGATTAAATATGATAGATTATAATGTAATAATGTCCAATTTGTTTCTACAACATTAAAATTTGGCGTTTTAATCCCATTGAAAATTGTCAAGTATCTTGAGAATTATGTATAGGACTACAGAATAATTTGTCAAATTTTTCCATGATGGTTTTTGAGTAATTTTGAATATATTGTCATGTTTTGAAAATTAGGTTAAAGATATGATATGAAAGCTTTCATTTCTGAATGTAAAGGTATGATAATGAATATTTTGATTTCTAACGTAATTTATTAGGAGTATTTAGAATTCTAATCAATTACTTTCAATTTAGAATTTAAAAAAAATTAGTTATTTGAGTTTGAATCGAAATCAAGATATGTAAAAACATGGAATTGAAGTGAATGCATCCAAGTGTGTGCATATAATTATATCACTTGCAGTTTGGCAAATTTCAGAGGGCAATGACGCGCAATAAGTTCCAGATTCCCGCAGTAAAGGCACAAGTTGTGTGCTCCGTGACAGAGTTGCTCAGCCTCTATTAAAGGTTTGAATTTGGTCACGTCTATGTGCATGGAAATAGGTCCAAAAGAGGCTGGACGGACAACTGCTAATGCTTGCTGGGCCAAGGGTGGCGCTATGGAATGATTGATGTGATGTTGGGCATTGGAGATAATCTTTTTCTCTTGGCAACGTCCAAACAGGCGGTTGTCGCACTGAATGTCCTGTGTGATAGCTTCACAAAGAGTTGAAGTATCCAAAAGCGTCAGAAAAAGAACTTGGACATCGTCACAAAGGCCGCAACAAAACTGATTGATCGATGCCGCTCCTCCCCAAGTAATATTGCAGGTCAGCTGCCTGAACTCCGAAGCGTAGATAGTGGCCGAGCGGGTTTCTTACTGGAATCAATGCAGTTAATTTGCTGACATCCTGGCTTTGTCGATGTATCCAAATACTGCTTCAAATTCCTCCATGAAGGCATCAAAATCCTGCAAGAGAGGAGACTAGATTTCCAAGATGGAGATGAACCATGCTGTAGCTGTCGCGGCAAGCAAGGTGCCAAAAATTCCACGCAAGTGCTATCGTCCGCATAGTGACGAGGGTGTAATGGCTCATAGAGACTCAAAACTGAGGACGCATTGCATCAAATTCTTTTGGTAGACTGATCTTGGATTCAAGAAGAGTTGGAGCGACACATGCAGTAATGGAAGGTTGTGGTTGAGCTATAAACGATTTACTGATTCTTGGAGAGTTGCTTTTTCTTGTTGAAGGTGTTGGAGTGCTGCAAGGATTTGACTGAGGCTGATGTTTTGTTCGGAGTTGTCCAAGATGATGACTGAAGTCTGGTTATTGGTTGCAGGGATGCTTCAAGCCGAGAGCAAATCAAATTGTTATGTACGAGCTAAGATGGAAAAGTTAGGTTGCAATCAACTGGGTGAAAGATGATCACAAAGGCAAATAAAAGACACAAGAAGTCAAGAATAGTAGAGCACGACTAGACAAAAGTACAAGACTTTATTAATCCATGGTGCTGATCGGATGAAGTTTGTGACAGTGTTACCTTCTTTTTATACTCAAACTGTTATAGCGATCTAGTCTAGATGACTTGAACCTAGAGTGCTGAGGTGTCGAGACTTTGGTGCGCCGTTGAGAAACCAAGATTTAGCTGCATTGCGGAGATGTCTGCACCTTGTACTTATTTTTCCATGCATGCGACCGTGACACAAAGCCTTGTACTTCCCTTTCCATGCGTTGATCGTGGTCCATGCATGCGACCATGATCAACGCATTAACTGGATTGAGTTTACAATCAATCTTGACTAGCTCAATCACATTGATATGCTTCACTCCGCTGTCCATGACTTGGTTCACAGTCAAATGTAGACCACTCTAGCTATCACAATGAAGAATGATCATGTTCTCAGTCAATCTCATCTTCATGATAAACCTATTGATCACATCAAAAGACACGTAATCTAAACAAAATGAATATAGTCATGCAAAAATTTAAAAGTGAAATAAAAATATATGGATACGAAATCATTCAAAAACTTTCAACTTGAAGAGTTTGGAGGAATGTGAATTATTTTTGCTATATATTTTATGGTGATTTGTTAGATCTTCTTGTGTGTGTATTTTTTATGAATTTGCAATAAATGTTTTCATCATATTTCAAACCTGAATTTTGATATAAATTTACGTAGGCCCATATGCAATATCTATGATGAAAATAAAAGCAAGGTATTTTCATGAATGCATCATATTATTTTTTGATAATTTTTTTTTTAAATGTTCATGAATCTACATGTGTCAAAATTTTCCAAGAGGTATTCACAATCTAACTACTTTTAAACTTCAATAATTTGATTCTCCTTCAAGAATTCTTTTTCTACTCATCGTAAACATCATCATAATCTTCTCATTTCAGGGAATAGTGAAATATATTTTTGTTATTGATATGGATAACATGCAATTTCTTACTTTTGTTTCACAATTCAAATTGATTGAAATCAAAAATCATATTGGATGCCAAATTACAAATGAGTGAATAAATCAATTTGTAATAAATCTACCACTCTTATATTAAAAATTTAACAATCAAAATAAGATAATTTTCAATTTTCTTAATATTGAAATAACATAAAATATATTAAAATACAACGAATTAGTTAATGAAATTATGTCATGAAGTTCAATCTCATTACAAACCAAAGCAAGTAAATATTTACACTAGAACAACAAAAGTCTATTGAACAAACTATAGTGTTCAATGGTTTGATCTAAAACACATATGATTAGTTTAATTGTAGAAATAAAATTGTTGTTTTTTGTGTGTTAAATTGGATTTTGCAACATATGATTATAGTCAAAATATTAATGTGATGAGATAGTTAATTCATTCTTATTTTTACAATACACGTCAGATGTCTAAGAGTCTACCTAGAGCAAAGCACAATACGTAATCATGTTATCTATTCTAATGTGTAGCCAAATTCAGCTTTCTATGCGTTTTTGAAATAACACTAGCTTCTTCTATGATTATGATACATAGTATGATATGTTAATCTGTATACTATTTGATCTTTATATCATATTTCATATTTACAATGATATTGTTGAGTAGTAGCCGCTAGAGTCTAGTTTAGTTTCATCCTTGCGATGGAGTCTTTCAGATTCTTGAGAAATAAGTAAACTCGTCAATAAACTGAGCTCTAAATTGAGTTCGACTCTGAAATCTAAGAACTCCAAAGGAAAAGTCATGCACCATCGTGAAAACTGAAATGGAAAGACTGAATTGGATGCCGCATGAACTGGAAAGAGAAAGTAAAAGTTGGTGAAAAACTATAATGGAAATACTGGATTGGTTGCCGCATGAGCTGGAAAGATGATGTACAAGTTCGGTGGAGGTTGTAGAGGTGAGGAGCGACCATACAGCGAGACTGTAATATATCATCTGAGATATCATGTATTTCTGGCCTAAAAATCATCCAACTTCAGATTATAGGTCCATATTTTTTATCTATGTAGAAAGAAGTGTTCAATCAAACCCAAAAACTTGATTGTGGAACTAACATCTGCAAAGACCCGCAGACATGATTAAAACTGTAACTTGAAAACGAAGGAAACATGGGACGGAATCAGTGTCATAGCTTCATATGAAGAATGAAGAATAGATAACATCCAAGTTTGGCCTTTAGCACTTGTTCAAGATGATCTGTCAACATTATTATCTCTTCTCTTCCAGAAGAGATGTTCGGATATGTTACCCCCAGAAGAGCATTTCAAGCAGAACACTCAAAGCTGAGCTCTAGATCGTTCGGCAACAAAGTGGCGTGAAAAGCCAGCAGGCAGGCAGGCAGGTAGGCAAGCAGCAAGTGAAGCAAAGTCGCTACTCCCCTGACCTGAACCTCTTAGAAAAGGAAGCAGGAAAACCAGGACGCTCGACAGAATTCTCGCATGTGCCAATCTGCAGACATTCAACATAAAGCTGAGCACCGAAACTTAGATGACAGATGCATGGCACTGGCGTTTCAGAACTCTTGTAACATCAAGATCACGGTTGTCTGCTGCCCTCTCTAAAGCACTCCAGTACAGAGAGGTTTGCAAAAATCAACAAATCATAAGCAATCTTCTCTTACGCATCTCTCCAAAACTACCGATTCAGAAACAATGAGGGGTGTAGACGTGCCATCATGTCAGTGACATGATACAAGTTGGAATTACTGGGCTGACCCTAGACACGGCAACGAAGAACATGCACGGAGTAACAACGTATCAACTCACGCGCGTAGTAAAGAAGTAAGACCAACGTCTCATGACAGGGAACGTGAGTTGAGAAATCACGTATATAGTTCATTGACAAAGGCACTTCGATAATCCAGTTCGCTTTGCAGCTCCGGAATGATCAGAGTATTGTTGCACGTACATTGTGTAAAGTTTTTCTCTTTAATGTGATCCCCAGATGAAACCGAAGCTGGCCAGCTGCGGCTACTTGGGCTCCTTTGCAATAAACATCATCGAAAGTCGTTAACCACAGATATTCGCATTGTGTGTACAACGGCACCAGTCCAATATATTACAACAAAACAGAGTCCAATCGCTGCCTCAGCAGTGGCACATATCACCGGTATATGATTTGGGAGCATGCTTCGAAAGCTTGAGCTTGGGGATCGGTGAATAGACACACCGGTAGCACCTATCATGGTCTCCACTGGTATCTAGAAGCACACGACGCGATGTTTTAAGCCCTCCACATATCGATCCTCCTGTTTGACATATGGCGTGCTCAACTTCGAGCCGGAGTCATTTCTCTGTCGTTCGTACACTGCTTTCTTAACGGATATGTATTGGAGTGTCCAATCATCATCAACTCAAGACAGGAATGCAAAGCACTTGTAATTCTCAGCAACATGCTGACGGTTGAATAGGATGGAGCTCGGAGCAGAGTTGGACCCGGAGCTGCTTAGTATGTCTTTGTGTAGCTTGGCTATAATCAACGCCTGGGTCACTGGCTTCACATGTACCGAGGTGAAATATGTTGCTCAGTCCAGTACTTAAAAGCCAGGTCCAACTCATAGAAATGAAAAGGGACAGCTTGAGGACAGGAGTACGGCGCAAAGAGACGTCAGCTTTAGCATGTGGAGATAGCTTTTTTCCTCAGTGTACCGGAAAACGTCGTGAACTCATCCAAGGACAGGCGTAGATCATTCCTCAAGTTATTAAGGAGTTCACTAATTGTGATGAATTCTGCCACACGGAAATATCTACTCCGCCTTCTTGTGACGCTTCATCAAATCAAAGCATGAATTGGCAAGCACCAAGATGGCGTTGTGTAAAAGGCTGGTTTCTGCCGACCTTGCTGAAGTTTTGCATCCAGTGTCGAGGAGCTTGCTCACACTCCCACCGAAGGCTGACGGAGTTCGGCTTCAGTCCCCATCTATGTACCACATGAGTAACAACCACTTAAACTGCGTCTGCGTACCTTGAAACTTTTGCTCTTCAAGTATCGGAGTGCATGGCAGTCCAGGCCGTACTCATACCTACCGGACTGGTCAGTAAGGAAGTTCGATCCCCTCTAGATCATCAAAACCGTCAACTTCCAGTATGAGTCTCAAGAGCATTATGTGTGTCTTAAGTATTCAAATTACATCATTCAGTTTCCATGGCTTCTACCTTCTGCTCATATGTGCGACCACATCAGAGATGATTGGATTTGAAAGAAACAGAGCAAAACAAAGCAGGCAATTGAAGGACATTTTCATCGCTGAAAATCAGGTAGACGCTCCCAAGTTCGGGAAATAACAGAAGGAAAAGTTACACAGTCCAATATCAAGGCTATAGGATGCTCGATGGTTAACAAACGGGCAGTTCGGGAATGAGCAGCAGGTTTATCTATGAAACAAGCTGTAAACTGATTTCATATCGTAATATCATGGTGTGAGGATTATGCCTTGCTCTGCTCAGAACTGTGAATTAGCACCGCACTTGGATAAGCTAATAGAAAAGTTACAAAAGGTTGCAGCCAATGGCGAACTCCGCTCATAGAATTAAGGAGAGTTGTGGACCTATTCCATACAATACCCAATACATGTATGCGTGATTCTAACCGAGATCACCTCCTGTTACCTCAAGCGGGACAATTTTTAGACTTGTGAGTTGATGCATTGGCAGTTGAGTGTGCGAAACTGTGAACTCAGCCATATCGAGTCAAAGACGCTACAGAGGTATCAAAACATCAACTTTGCTCGTTTGCACTATGAAGAACTACGGCAACGCTGTGTCTTGGACGAAGTATGACAGTCTCTGATACAAGAGTCTACGAAAAGGAAAAGGTTCGGACTTGGGTGGTCTCTGACTTCGATTGATGTATCAGTCAAAATGCATCCATTCATTTTGAAGTGGATGTTGAGTTGCTGATGGCAGCCTCAGTTTCAATCAGAAAGCAAAGAGAACTCAGCCTGTACAATCAGTTCCTTTTGCATTACAATCTCAACATGCTAGAAGAATCTAGTGAAAGCAGTGGGGTAAGTGGAGTCCAGATGTCTTCTTGTTTTCAGGCATTCTCCACAGAATAAGCAAGAGATGAGTCAAAACCGTATATGGGCGAGTTCGATTGGAAATGAGCAGTCTATTGAAGTGGTTGAATGTACAGAAATTGTCATACAGAACGACTTTTGTCAAAAGCAATAAAATCTATGAGTTCAACATAAAACTTAAGTCTGCTTGCAATAGACCCGTAGACTGCTGTCATAATCTTGTACAAATTGAACTACGACACATATAAAATCAACTTAACCTTTGGCACAGGCTGCCCAGAAATCTGCGGTTGCATCGGAAGCTGGCCCATTGCACCATAGAAC